CCTTCCTTCCTTCCTTCCTTCCTTCCTTCCTTCCTTCCTTCCTTTCTTTCTTTCCTTTCTTTCCTTTCTTTCTTTCTTTTTTTTGAGACAGAGTCTCTGTTGCCAGGCTGGAGTGCAGTGGCACGATCTTGGCTCACTGCCATCTCCGCCTCCCAGGTTCAAGCTATTCTCGTGCCTCAGCCTCCTGGATAGCTAAGATTACAGGCACATACCACCACACCCAACTAAGTTTTATATTTTTAGTAGAGACGGAGTTTCACCATGTTGGCCTGGATGGTCTCAATCTCCTGACCTTGTGATCCACCTGCCTTGGCCTCCCAAAGTGCTGGGATTACAGGCATAAGCCACCATGCCTGGCCTCTGTTTTCTTTTTATAAAATGGCAATACTAATACTCTGCTCAAAATTGTGAGGATTGGATGAAATGTCTAAATATTACTTAGAACAGTATCTATTATGCTGTAAGTGCTCAGTTAAGTGCATAAATTACTAGTAAACACTGACACTTATAGGAATTTGATGGTGGGATGTGGCTTATTGTCAGGAAGCCAGAACCTATCTGCTGCTCATTCTCAGAGGTGGGACAGGCAGCAATCTGGCTAAAAGTTCAGTTAGACATTTATTAAGGATCTACAATAGTGCTAAGCAATGTTGTAGTAATTTGAGGATATAAAAATGCCAGGTAAGGATGATATATAAGGGCAAAGCCCACTTCTATAAGCCTCTGGCAACTTAGTGATTTAAGATGTATTGGGGGGTCCAAACAGAGGAGGAGTACCGAGGTTAGGAGTCCAGGCAAAGGTACTCCAAAGTCCCAGCCATCAAAGTGTTGGAACTGGGAGATCTGGTTTCAGGATTGGGTTTCAAAGGCACGACTGGAAAGCCAAGGTAGCAGTAGCTGAAGAGCAACTTGGGAGTCAGGGGACTTTGCCCTGATGGGAGCTTGCTGAGAGATCACAGTTATCCAATGTGAGGACTGTGGTAGCAGGAGGCTAGGAAGCCTTGGGCTCAGGATATGAGTAGAAGAGCTCAGGGATTAGAATGGGCTATTTTGATCATGCCTCCTTTTTGTGCCAAATGCCAGGCTCCATGCCCTGCTGCCACTGTGATGCCATGCCACAGCACGGAAACTGTCATGTCCTACGTCCCTGTCAGTGTGCTTCTGTTTAGCACACACTAAGTCTCTGTGTGATAGTGTTGCCAAAGAACAATGGAAGTAGGCTTGTCTAAATTTTGTTTTCTAAATTGGGGCGCCATTTTGGTCTCTCTAACAACTTAGTATCTTGAAGACTCAGATGTCTGCCAAGATGGTCCAATAGGAACAGCTCTGGTCTGCAGTTCTCAGGGAGAGCGATCCAGAAAGCGAGTGATTTCTGCATTTCCAACCGAGGTACCAGGTTCATCTCATTGGGACTGGTTAGACAGTGGGAGTAGCCCAAGGAGGGCAAACTGAAGTAGGGTGGGGTGTTGCCTCACCCAGGAAGTGCAAGAAGCCAGAGAACTCCCTCTCCTAGCCAAGGGAAGCCACTAGGAACTTTTCCAGATACTCTAGCACTCTGGTTAAGATACTGCTCTTTTCCAACAGTCTTCATAACCTGCAGACCAGGAAATTCCGTCTGGTGCCTAAAACACCAGTGCCCTGGGTTTGCAGCACACAACTGGGTGGTCATTTCACTGCAGCATTTTTTTTTTTAATTCTCATACCCTAGTGGAGCTTGGAACACCAGCGAGACAGAACCGCTCATTCCCCTGAAAAAAAGGGGGTGGAAACCAGGGAGCCAAGTGATCTGGCTCAGCGGGTTGCACTTCCATGAAAACTGGCAAGCTAAGATCCACTGGCTTGAAATTCTTGCAGCTAGCACAGCAGTCTTAGTTTGAACTGGGGCTTTCAAGGTCGGTGGCAGGGAGGGGTGTCTGCCATTACTGAGGCTCGGGTAGGCAGTTCTAAACTTGCCCGGAAGTTTACACAGCAACTGGGTGGAGCCCACAGCAGCTCAGCAAAGCCACTGCAGGCAGACTGTGACTAGATTCCCTACTTGCTGGGCAGGGCATCTCTGAAAAAGGCAGCAGCCCATCAGGGACTTAAAAATAAAGCCCCCATCTTCCTGGGACAGAACACCTGGGAAAAGGGGCAGTTGTGGGTTCCACTTCAGCAGACTTAAATGTCCCTGCCCAGCAGCTCTGGTGGGACCAACGGCTCTCCCAGCATAGCACTTGAGCTCTGATAAGGGGCAGAGTGCCTACTCAAGCGGCTCCCTGACCCCCATTTATCCTAAAAGACACCTCATACAGGAGAACTCTGGCTGACATCTGGCAGGTACCCTTCTGGAACAAAGCTACCCAGAGGAAAGAATATTTGCTGTTCTGCAGAGGAAAGAATCTTTGCTGTTCTGCATCTGCCATGGGTGATTCCCAGGAAAATAGGGTCTGGAGTGAGCCTTCAACAGACCTGCAGCAGAGAGGCCTGACTGTTAGAAGGAAAACTAAAAAATGGAAAGAAACAGCTTCAACATCAACTGAAAGGATGTCCACTCAGAGACCCTATCCAAAAGTCACCAACTTTAAAGACCAAAGGTAGAAAAATCCATGAAGATGGGAAGAAAAAAGCACAAAAAGGCTGAAGTTGCACCAAAAACCAGAACGCCTCTTCCCCTCCAAGGGATCACAACTCCTCACCAGCAAGGGAACAAAACTGGATGGAAAATGAGTTTGATGAATTGACAGATGTAGGCTTCACAAGGTAGATAATAGCAAACATCTCTGAGCTAAAGGAGCGTGTTCTAACCCAAAGCAAGGAAACTAAGAACCTTAAAAAAGGTTAGATGAAATGCTAACTAGAATAACCAGCACAGAGAAGAACATAAACGACCTGATGGAGCTGAAAAACACAGCATGGGAACTTCGTGAAGCATACACATGTTTCAGTAGCTGAATCAACTAAACAGAAGAAAGGATATCAGAGACTGAAGATCAACTCAATGAAATAAAGTGAGAAGGCAAGATTAGAGAAAAAAGAGTAAAAAGAAATAAAGCCTCCAAGAAATATGGGATTATGTGAAAAGACATACTCTACGTTTGATCAACGTACCTGAATGTGACGGGAAGAATAAAATCAAGTTGGAAAACATTCTTGAGGAGAACTTCCCCAACCTAGCAAGGCAGGCCAACAGTCAAACTCAGGAAATACAGAGAACACCACAAAGATAGTCCTCAAG